CCTCGGTGCTGCTGCGTGTGGGTGCTTGCACGCTGGAGATCTGCACCGGGCACGTCGTGCTGCTCCATGCAGAGCCACGATCTGTGCTGCCAGGTGGATGAGAGGGTGTGAATTTTGTCCTTGATGAGCTTGGCTTTGTGGCAGAGTGGGGTTTTTTTTCCTTCTGCAAGCGGTCAGGCTGCTCCGGAGACAAGTGGCGGAAGGGTAGGTAGGACCGGCACGCCTGGCTCTGCTGCTCGCTGGGCTTTGCCCTTTAAGGGTCAGAAGCGGGGAACGCAGAGCCCAGCCAAAACGGCACTTGCCGGGCAGGTCGGAGCTGTCGGACAGGTCGGAGCTGTGTATTCCCCATCACGTTCCTTAGTGTCACTCGGGGACAAGACTCTTGGGAATCAGAGGAGTTGCCATCCAGCACCTCTTTGCCCCGACAAAGCTCGTGGGTCCAGCGAGCGGAGGTGACCACGGGGACCCTCTGAGCTGCCCGCGGAGGTGGAAAGTGTCTTGGTTTAACTCCCTAATCTTTCATTTTTGTACCCCTTTATGGAGCTCACCCAGTTCTGGCATTTCTCTTGCATCCTTCTCTGAGCCTGATGGGGTTTTTGTTTGTTTTCTCCTTGCTTTCCGCCGCCTAGGCAGTCAGGCAGCACGGTGGGCTTAGTGTCGTGCTGCTGGGGAGGGGGGTAAATCCCACTGCTGCGGGGACCCGATGCTCTGGGGCGCAGGGGTGATCGTCTCTGCGTGGGGGCAGCACCCGGTTACGCCCCGTAGCAGGGAGGGCGGTTTGCATATCAGTATAATCAGCGTAATTTCTCTCTCCGGGGCATGCACAGGCATGATTTTACTGCACTAAATATTGTCACGATCAGATTGTTTCTGGACAGTGCAGGGAGCGAGGAGGGGGGATGTTTGGGCTGGTCTTTTGCCCTAAAAAAATAAGGCTTAAAAATCTGGGGTGATACGAAGATCCAGGGAGGAGCATTTGGCTGCTGTGCCCCTGTGGTGTGAGTGAGGTGGTGGTTACACCTGGTGCGGTCTGAGCCAAAATCCGGGTGGGAGCAGACACTGATGCTCTTCTCTTTGCCGAGGGACGTGTATCTTTATTTTTTTTCCCCTCTCAGCCTTCCCACATGGTGGCTTTTCATCCCTCCAGACTCTGGCTAGTGGGGCTTACTGCTCCTTTGCCATGTTTCAAACCCCCCAGCAGCATAACGTGTGCGGGGGCTCGCCCGTGGTGTCCCCGCGGCCGCCTCCAAGGCAGACGTGGTTGGGAGCAGGCAGCTCCGGGGCATTGGGAAGCTTTTTAGTGAAGGAAAACAGGAAAGGTCACGGGGTTTACTTTCATTCTTCATAAAATGCTTGATTTCACGCCTCAGAAATATCTGCGTGGCACCGCACGAGCTGTTGGTACCACGGGAGTTTCCCGCTGGAAACTAAAAGTCATGGTCTTTGGTTTTTATTTTCTATTTGGTCTCTCTCCCCTTTCATTTTAGGGTTTCTTGGATAACCAGGCAGGAAACCCCCAGATCGTCATTCTGCGCCTCCTGCGTTACATCATCCGCCTCATCTGGAGGATGCAGTGAGCACCGGGCGCATCCCGAGGCACCGGAACTCGTTTGCTTGTCGGGAAAGCCTGGGTTGGACGGACACACGGACGGGTGTGGGTCTCCCTGCGCCGCCCGGCTCCCACCCTGCCTCTCCCTAGGGAGCAGGGGCTGTCGGATGAGGGTGGCTTCCCACGCCGACCTGCTGGGACTCTCCGATGCGGGATTTCATCCTGGAGTGGTGGTTACCACGTTGCTCTCAACATTTTTATCACTTTTTATTTTTTCCAAGAGTCTCAGAGAAAATAACGGCCGTGGAATCTTTTTTTTTTTTTTTTTCCCCCTCATCATTCCTGGAAACCCACTGGCTCATCTGGGATAAACCCTGCAGCAGGGAGGAGGAAAGCCTTGAACCAGCCGACGGGCAGAGCCGCCTTGGTTTGCCTTGCAGACCTTATTCCAGAGACTCACAGAGCCTTTGCCTTGCTCCTCCGTGAAAAAGGATGATGGAAGAAGGGCAGAAGGATTTAAATCAGCACTTCTTTTACCTGTAAATACCTAATGCTACCCCACATCCACCTTAATTTGCATCATGCAAATTGCCTATT